TTGCTAGTTATTTTTGAATAACTACTCAAAAATACTGAAAATATCCTGAATGTGACTCTTCAATTCTACGACGTGATGAAGCAGGGGGTATATGCACAGACAGCACAGTAGGACACTCTCTTCTATTATTATCTACTCTTGCTATTATAAAAAATTGGCCTACCACCCGTATGGCAAGCCGCGTTTGTTTGAAATTCAAAAAATGCAAATACCATACTCCATAGATCTACATAGCTGCATATTTCTGGGCACAGAAAGGTAACTAACCAATTCTCATCTTCCTCAACCTCATCAAAAAGACATATCTGCTCTGTCGGCGGATCTGGACCTTCGGCCATAATTTTGTACCCCAAAACAGGCTATTTAGCAACAGTGGTCGCCCTACCGGTGGGCGACCACTGTTGCTAATTCGATAGGCGCATTAGGCGGAGCTCAAAACTACACTATACTTCATTTTGTTTATCAAAAATTGTCATTTATCTATAGCTATCGATCTACTATGCGGAATAATAAATCAGTCCAGCATTGTATCTTGACAATGGAGAAGAGATAGAGCAGGGATATAATAGACTAACGTAACCGGGATTGGTTACGGACCGGAAATCAATTATCAGACTCTGTTATTATTCATTAAATTAATGGCAGCAATCAATGGCATCTTAGCAAAATGGCTGAATGTAAATTGTTATAACTAAAAAACCAGCAACAGGAAAAATTCAAAAACAACTTTAAACAATGTAAAAACATGTAAAGGGTCTCTTTATTGTAGTTTCATAGCAATAGAATGTAGTCTATTCTCCTGAGAGGTACGCAAAAGTCGTACCATGGCAAACTGGTTTTTCTTGAATATTTCCTGAAGAACACTCTGGAAAAACAAGAGAAGTTGCCTAAACAATGTAATAAAGTAAGTAGCAACAATTCATGACAAAAACACATTCATAAAAACAAATATTTGGGCTACAGAGGTACGCAAATGGAATTTTAGCCGTAAATTGAAGATTTAACCAATTTAAAACAAATATTAACTTACAATAACCTATCAGAACCTTGAAGCCGCCATTATAACTTTGCAGTAGATTTTTCATAAAGCTAAATACATTTTTAAAAGAGAAAAGAGCAACTTCATACTCCAGACATTGACAGTCGCCATCTTGAAAATCATAACAGAGACTGCAAAAGTTTTTATACACAAATGATACGCTCACGTGATCCCGTTGCCAATCCCGGTTATTAGTCTATTATATCCCTGGATAGAGTGACACTTGGGACTTCTGACATCATCAGTTAAATGTAAATATGGACCATCATGTACCGTGACATTCAGTCCCTCTATCATTAAGAGAAAAATAATAATAAAATAGTTGTAATTGTTGTTGTT